GGACACACAGACAACCTCTCGTCAATATGCGTTTTTTGCATTGCATTGCTGCAAAAAACGCATAATTATTGTAGATACGTCGGAGCTACAGAAACTCCCCCTTTCTTAAAGTTTTTCTAGCCTTTCTGAGGTCAATTTTCCTATTTTTAGCTTTCTTTTGGCTTATTTTGTGGCTTTCCAATTAAATTTTACGACACCGCATCTATATTTTGTACTGTTTGACTCAATTTCGAGTATTTTTTTTTTCGCGAGGAACGAGTTTGATCCCGACTCTGGTGTAAACAGATAGGAGTTAGCAGGGAGAAAGAGTAATGAGGTAGGAAAAAGAGACATTGTTCTTACAATTATTCCTTATAAGAATGTATAAAACAATCTTGCAGGACTTCACATTTGTTATGCGCAAGTCTGTGTCGAATGGAATTGAAATTTTTGATGTCCATATGTGGCTTTGCTTCCTATTTCGTAAATAAACAAAAAATTTGGAAAATTCTGCAATGATGTCAGTGAGCGATTTCTTGATACAGCGGCTTCTTGGTCTCAAAGCCTCGATGTCGACATCGGTGCCAGCCTCTGGAGGTAGTGCAGATAAACGAAACATCCCAGATATTGTGATGCCGAGAGTATCAATGAATCTAGCGGATCCACTGTCGGAATACGCTGCAGCGCTGCAACTGATGCAGTTACAAATGTTCTGCCAGCCGAATTTCCTGAATTCACTTCTAAGCCAAATGGCTGTGATGGGGTTCGGGGTGGATTGCAGTGGCTCATCAAAGGTTACGCAAGTCTTTTTTTAAGAAATTCCACGAACTTTAAACTTTGTCTTGCGATATTCAGGAGACAAAGAGTCGAAATGTGTTCACTGCATAAGAAATCACTGTAGATTACAACTGGATGACGCGGCTATGAAAGTTAGATTTCTCTGGAGGCCCCCTGTGATAGATTATGCTGATCAACATTATAATTTCTGACTTTTTTGATGAAGGCGGACTGTTTTCCCCTTTAGTTTGTGCAACTGCTAATGACTGATTATGTAGTAGGGTGACATAATGTAAATAAATTTCTAGCACCGGGCATGTGCTTTAGTGTAGGTAAGGTTTCCATGACTAGGAGCCCATCACTGCATGTCGAATTTGTGCAGTCGGGATGGCTAACTATTGCTTGAATAAAATGAGTGCTGTTTACTAGGCAGCATTCATATAGCCCATGGGATAATACGTCAAACTTTCTTAATTTTCATATGGCCAGTGCTCAGACAAAAAATCATAGAAAGTGGCAAAAAACAAAAGTTATAGTAAAAGGGATGTAACATATTGCTACACCAGATAACTACTTTGAAGCTAGAACCCCGAAACACGCCAAACTACCGGTTCGATCATGCGTTTTTGCACTAAACTTGAAGCGACCGGGCCATAAACTACACGAATAGTTGTTGCTTTACACTTACTTTGTGCAGTTACCAGCGTAAATCAGCGTAAATTTTGCATAAGAGAAAGTAAACAATTTCTTCCAACAGTCGTTTTTTTGAAAATGAACCAACAGTTCGGTGAGTATTTTCTCGCCAAAACTTTTAAATGCACGCACATGGGGGCTGATTTTAAAATCTTTAAGTTGTAGATGGGTAGGAAACACCCTTTCAAAATTTCAGTATTCCAGTTTTTCTGGCTCTCGAGTTAACGACTTTCTCGTCAAAGCTTTTGCGTGTTCGTATGCGAGTCATATGCGCACGCGAAGGCTGGTGCTTCGGTCCTGAGTGGTACTTGGCCAGGAAACCCACTAGCAAAATTTTGGCACCGGAGCTTGCTTGATTGCCGCGTTGAAATACCCAGACACACAGACAGGCCCACACACACACAAAAATACGCACACACCCACACCATGGATCGCCACAATATGTGTTTTCGCATTTGCATGTATACAAAAACGCACAATAAGCATTGCAAATTCGCCAATTTCCTACAACCGTTTTACATTAAAGGTCGCATCATCACTGGAAACATCGAGTGATGCACCAGCGGCACTGGTCCACGAACGAAAGCGAGTCGCATCACGGGGCGGCAGTGCTGAATCGTACCTGAAGCGGCCGAAATTACTGCGCCGTCTTGTCAATGATTCGGAAACCAGCTCGCCTGTTTCCGGAATGTTTATCAAAGTATGTCCACGGAAAATTTTTTTCTTGAATTTGATGGGACATCATTGTACCTTGTGAAGCTAATGAGCAAGCAATAAAAAAAAGTTATGAAAGTAAGTGAATCACCAAGACTTGCGGCTTATCAGCAAATTGGTCATCCATTGATTGTTAAACACAGGGATCAGTAAGCTGAACATAAGTGAACGAAAAAGTGCCGTTAAAAACAACCGTTTCGTCGATACAAATCCAGTGATAAATTAAGATTGAGAATGATAGACGAAGCTTCTGACAGACATTTTGGTAGTTTTATTTTTAATGGACTATTACAGTTTTTTACGTCTTTAAACACCGTAGTTCTTGTGTTTTATCACTAGATACTACTGTCGCGCATTAGTAAACCACCTTCAAAAACTTATGTACATTTCTCACCGCGTCTTATAGGTTACGACTAGCCCACTGTCAAAATTTTCTATGATCTCTGAAAAACGTTGGCCTGTGTTTTCTTCTTTCGCAGCTCTATTAAGAAAATCTGTCACCCGTCGTGATATTCAAAACGAGCCGTCATGCTATCTGCGTTTGTTTACCATCTGTTGTCATTTAATCCAACTTGCTACTTAATTGGAGGTGCCACTTTGTAATAAGTAGAATTATAGCTTTTGGTCAAAACGAGAACCAATACTTGTCAGGCGGCTTGCTTATTATGCGCTTTTGCATCTTATGCAAATATAACTTAGTCATCAACGCACCGGCTGTCGGTGCAAAGATATGTTTTTTGCAAAGTTTCCCGTAGGTTTTTGCTGCTAATGGCGCTGTTTTTTCCGGCAGATGTTCCTAGCTAAAAGAATTGAGAGTAGCTACCACGACTGTTAAAAATTATCGCAACGACTTCCAATCCATGCCCAAAAAATTCAGCACTTTAGATGCTAGGGTTGCTGAGTTGCGTCATATTTCACGTGTTCGTGCGTGAGTGACAAAGTTAATGCAGTTCAAGCGTGTGCTTGCTCAAACACGGCCCTGGGCAAATCCAAGAAGTTTCAGCACTCCAGCTCCTCTTGTTGCGGGGTTACGTCAAATTGTGTGTACGTGAGACATGAAAGGGATGTGAAATTTGTTTTTACTTCCATGTGGTGAACGTCCACCGTCGATTATGCTGAAAAAGTTCCAGTCCTCTGGCTGCTTCAATTCTGAAGTTATAAAAGTGTATGCGTGAAAATTTCATATGCCCATACATGAGATGCAGAGGGGCTGGAAAGATCATTTTACTTTCAAGTGGACGACAAGTAAATTTGCAAAAATGCAGCTCTCACTGGCTTCTTGGTCAGTTTAAATCTGAAGTTAGCATGTTGCCAATTTAAAATTTGACGTGCGTGTACGTGAGACCTAGGGTGCGTGAAGGTGGGTTTGAAATCTTTTGATTAGACGCGGCCAAGGAACATTTTTGTCAAATTCCATCTTTCTAGCTTACGCCATCTCCGAAAACGTCTTCCCGCCAAAAAAAACTTTCACATGCCCGTGCCTGAGAACCACACGGTCTTGTAAGCCCATTTTGGGAATGGGAGCCTGCACGTACGTGCAGATTAAGTTACCAAAGTTTCAATCCTTTAGCTTTTGTAGATATGGAAATGATAACTCGTTACAGAAGCACACACACACACACACACACAAACAACCCCTCGACAATTTGCTTTTTTGCATTGCATAGATGCAAAAAACGCATAAAAACGAATGTTGTCGAGAGGGTGTCGTTGTGTGTGCTTCTGTGTTTGGTTATTTGTCACCCACAACTCAGCAACCACAGGAGCTAGGAAGCTGGAATTCCAAAAGGATGTTTCTAGTCAGCGTGCTGTCCATGCAACTTAAAATCAGCGTTAACACACGCCGGGTCTCATGTATAGTGGTCTATTAAAATTCACACAAATTTTTTGGTAAGAAATCGATTTCGGGAAGCAGATAAAATAGGAAGCTGAAATTTCTTAGGGTTGTTCTATGTCTTTGTGGGAGCCAAGAATTTCGAATTCAGTTTTAACGCAAACCTACGTCGCGTGTACGGACACGTCAAAGCTGAGATTTTGCAATAGCTGGAAAAATGCCAAGAAAGAGGTTAGGCCGGCTAGTGCGCACTCACTTTACGAGAATGTTTTCTGCTTATAAGCAGCACATTGATCATAAAATAAATATTGGGCCGCGTCTGTGTGGCGTATTTAAGCATGTTAAAGATATTTGTAATGAAAAGCGATTTCAGTAAGCAAAGCTGAAATTTCACGAAGAAATCCTGTGAAATGTGCAATCGAAATATTTGATATTCAGCTTGAAAAACGCCTAGATTTTGCGTCCACACAAGTAAAAGTTTAGTTTGGGACTGTGGATGTCTGCTGCATATATGAGGATCTCCAAGACGAGCTTTTGCCTGGTATGGGCTCTACGCATAAGCGCATTGACTGTACATATCGCAGCACCGCAGTCATATTCAAGTAATACAGTCGAACTCCCTAACTGATGGAATTATGCAAAACCCAAGATCGCACTGGCAAGCCTGGTGCATTGACACCTAGGTTTTTTTGCACATATACAAATGCAAAGCGCATATTGGCAAGAGGCCGTCTGTGTGTTCGCACTATTTTTCACCCACTTTCAACTTGAGAACCAGAAAAGCGAAAAGACTGAAACTTCAGCAGTATGTGTCTACACCATGTGCGACCCTTTCGCTTTAATACCATCATCAGCGTACGCCTGGGTCCCAAATACGGACGCCTTGAAAAAATATGCAAATTTTTTGACAGGAAAGTGATTTCAGAAACCAGAGAAGATAGAAAACTGAAACTTTGCAGGATATTCTCTGTGCATGCTGAGCCAGAGATTTCAAATTCAGGCCTGGGTATTTATGGTTCACAAGCACGAACACGTGAAAGATTGGGCGGGAAAATTACCAACTCGGTAATCAGAAAAGCTGGAAGACCGAAATTTTAAGGGGATGTTCCCTGCCCACATACAATTTAAAGATTTCAAATTCAACCCTCAGGTACGCGTGGTACTCATGTACGTGCACATGAAACCTTCGGCGAGAAAAACGTTAACTTAGGAGCCAGGAAAACTGAAATTTTAGGAGAATATTCCCTGTTCAAATACAACATAAAGATTTCAAATTCAATCCTCTGAATATATGTGATTCTCGTGTGTAGGCACTTAAATTTTTGGCAGAAAAATTACTCATTGAACAGATAGGTCATTTTCAAAGTGTGACAGCTAGACGGGAATTGTTTATTTCCTTTTATGCAAAATTTGCGATGATTTACGGTAGTGAACGTAAACGGTAGGTGTGAGGCAACAACCATTCATGCAGTTAACGACCTGAGTACTTCAAGTCTGATGCAAAAACAAATGATCGCACTGGCAAGCCTGGTGCATTCCAGTCTGGATTTTATTTTCCGGTGGACCACGTAATTTACAAATAATCGGTGCTTTTGCGTAAGCAGTGATGTGCGCTGAGGAAGCCGCTGCGAATGTACGGCGGTATACGGTGAAGTATGCATATTTTTTTTTTGTCCCAGCCCACAGTTCCAAACCATTAAAACATAAAACTTGTGTTGATTTATGCGGAAGTACAGAGCCAGCAGTCAAAACAGTTCCCCTCGCTTCCCTTTCTTCCCCCTCCGCTCGCCATCCATCCTTGTAACTCGTACGTTGTGGAAGGCAGAACCACTTGCAAGAAGCGAAAACTGTGCACGTGTCAATAGCGATCACCAGCTTGCAAAGCTCTCGATGGCTTCCTTCTCTGCTGGCTGCATGAAAGGATGATGGTGGTGACTCCCTCCAAGTACCAATTTATTACAGAAGCAAGTGAACAAATCATAGAGGGGCTGGCTGTCCGGAAGTCAAATCCTCGAACCGTCGAAATTAAAATTTTGCTAAGCAAAATCTGTGTTATGCTCTATCGAAAAATCAAGTGAAGGATGTAAAAAAAAAACTGTTTTTCAAATTACTACCACAGTAACTAAGGGCAGAAGGCATCTGCTTAATTTTGGTTAATTTTGTTTGGATCCTAATAATTTTATCAAAATTTGACCAGCATGCAATTAATTTTACTCAAATTTAAATGTCAATTATAGGAGGCTTCATCGTTACCACCACCAGATGAGCTACAAGCAGCTGCAGATATGGATGAGACTGCCGTTTTCGTGAATGTTTCAGAAGAAAGTCGTCGTAAGATTCAACAAATTCCCAATATTATCGGCGACTGCATTTGCGCCTTGTGTAAGGTAAAAACTCAAAACATTTCAGTGCTTTTTCAAAATATCCCCTTTTTAATGCGCTGAAGTGCTGATGAGAGTGACATATGCTAAGGAGAACTTACTGCACTCTACAGATGACCAAACCGAATTGCTGAAAGGTGCAAAATTGAGCTGAAGGTACGAAACTGAATCCGTAAATGCAAGCTTTACACATAAAACTGTTTAAAAAAAGTTAAGAGTAGCGCTGTTTGGAGAGATATCGCCATTGCAGGTCAAGTACGCTGCCTTTGCCAAAATTTAGTGTCTTGCTGAGCGATAAATGCATTTCTGCCATGATAAGATGCACTACGTGCTGTTGTGCTCAAAACCGCCATTGGGCACTGGAGTTTATGTTAAGCATTACAACTGGAAATTTTTGAATGCAGGTCCGGTACGATGATGTATTTCGGTTAGCTCAGCATCGCTGTCCGCGAATTATTCACGAAGAGTATCGCTGCCCTGAATGTGACAAAGTAAGCTTGCTTTTTAAAAAAAATTTTGAAGATTAGTCGATACCATTTTAGAAACTCTGGTTCAGAGTTTAGGGTTCATTCCGAACTGCAGAACTTTTTGCTCAGTTGGTATATTTAAACACTTCCACTTAAAAGTCGGAAAAAGCGAGGAGAACTGAAAAAAAATCTTTACGCTGTTGCCAATTTTTCCATATGCTATCCGGGCGTACATTTTCTAAGGCCAGCACAGTCCAGCATCTTCAGGCAAATGCTGTCTCTCACATACTGAATTTAACGTTTTACCTAGCTTACCATTTCATTCTGTTGACTTTGTTTTTTCTTTTTTTTTCCAAAAGAAAAAAAGCCATTAAGAAAATGTGGTGTAGCTATTTTTTCATCGGCTTTCTGGAAATTCGTAGTGCAAATCCTCTGCAGCATTCCAGTGGTTTCCGATTGTAGCTTTGTCTACAAGGTGCTCGTATTGAACTTCTCGAGAGTGTAAAAAAGTCTGAAGCCGATTTTGTTACTTCGTTCTTGCACACATTCTTGCACATTCTCATTTTCTTATGTCGTTTTTGTTTTCTGATGCTCTTCTTCATTTTTTTACATTGTTTGTAACTAAGTCAGCAAAGTCAACAATCCACGGTGAAGTGCAATATGCATATAGACAAAGAGCAGGGCCTGAGTCACCATATAACCATTATCAAGATAGTCGCCTTATCCAGAATCCATAATTAACTGGCAGGTGCACCACCAACATCACCGAGAAAGAATGATCGTGGCCCCATCCTGTATGTGGGTAATCGCACTGGCAAGCAGTCACCGTAGCGCATCGCCTCAGAAAAGCGAGAAATGGCCCTTCTTGTGTTTCTTATGAAAACATTGACCAGATTTCGGAAGCAGAAGGCTGATGAAAACTACTGCTTGACCTTGCCACCCGCTGATTTTGCGTGTTTTCTGAGGATATAATTCATGAAAGCAACTCTCCTCATCCTTGCCGAAATCCACTTGAAACTACCACCCGTTGACTTAACAAGTCTTTGATGGTGCAGTTTTTTACTCTTTTCGCTGCATTAGAGATGAATCTACTGAAAATTAAAGACAGGGGCATGTAAATGCTTAGCGTATACCTTCATGATGCAATTAAGAATAAAGAAGCTGCTTTCAAGCAGATGAAAAAATGTTCTAAATTGGGTTGAATGGTGATAGAGCTGAGAAGGTTGTAAAAATCAAGCTAAATCAGCGAAAGCAGAGAGCTGTGTCCAGAAAAGTCCAGTTTGCCTAAAATTATCTGTAAAACAAAACAGGCAAAAGTCGAAATGGGTTACCAAATTTATTGTACGCTTCGTCTTTCTGGGTTGAATGAATATTTTTAATTTAATTTTTAATAATGATAAAATTTTGACAATAAAGAGAGGAGGAAGGACCAACAAGTTTTTCGGTAGATTCGAAGTTGTTATGAAAAGTTAATACAGAAGCATTGTGTGACACAGTATTCGTTATTTCAGCAATCTGATTTGCTATTTACTTCACTCAGATGTAAAGGCTTCCCCTGACTAATTCTGAATATGCACTTACGGCAAAAAAAAGCGCACATCTGTAAAAATACATTTGCACTAGATGCTCACTTGTTCTTCATCAAGTAAGCACACACACACACACACACACACACACACACACACACACACACACACACACACACACACACAC